GATTCTCGTTTGTAATTTAATTTTTAGCGTTCAGTAAACCATGCAGTGCTAACATAATCCTGTAAGTTGTTCTGACGAGGTTAATTAAAAACGAATGATGCAGTCGATGAGCGACGTCATACCGCATGTGTCCCACTACCTCGTGCCTCTAACAGACAACCAACTGGTCGATATAACTAAACATTTTCCCGATTGATTACATTTTACCAATATTGATTATTGTAGTTAATAAAATATGTGATCGGCTTGCTTCCTTTTTATTTATCCATTTTTATTACAATTTGTATATTGTTTTCCTTGGTTATTCAGATTCATCGATTTTATGCAACTAACGTCTAATTAAGGATATCTTACAGATTTCAATTAATTACAAAATAAATTAAGAATTAAGATCACGTATAAACAAATCTATAAATCATAGCAAAGATACAGCAAGTAATTAAAGAGCTATGGCTGGTAAGAAGAGAATGTTGTGATGCGGAGCACCTCGGCGCAGCTGGGTGGCATGTGGCGTACTCGGTCGGCGCTTGGCACATCACCGATTGCAGCCATATCGCAAGAGATACCGCCACTGAGATACGGCACGTAACTTCATACTTACATTGAAATACTGCCTTTTTAGCTCTTATTACGTATGTCATAACGACTACTTTCCTTATTATTTCCGTGTTGGACGAGGTGTGGTGCAGTGCGTCTGCAATGAGTCAACAAGGTAATACATCTGTTGCAAGTTGCAGCGCGTGGCGGATGATTGACACATCATGTTCTGTGCAAGTGATGTGTTATCTTGTTATGACATGAAACTCGGCCAGCACGAGGTGGCACGAGGTCACGGTTAACTTGACTACATAAACAACACTAATAACTTAAATATATTATGTTACTAGCTTTCGCCTGCAACACCGCCCGCGTGGACTTAAAAAAGCAAGGCTCCTTTTGCTGTGTTCTTCCAGACTATCCTATATATTTGTGCCAAATTTTATCGAGATCCATTCAGCGGTTTAGGCTACAAACTCTACCAAGCATCCATTCATTTAAATTTTCGCATTTATAATATTAGTAGGATTACTTTAATTTTAATTCACTGTTATATATCTATATTAACATATACACTTGGACATTTAACGATTTGTTCGATATATAAAACAGTATTTATACTAGTTTCGCAATTACCGAAAGGCACGTGACATTCCGATAGGATAAAAAGTCATTAAGGTAATTGTTTGTCCCTGAGGTTCTATCACTCCATTAGGCGTTCATTCGGTGCTAAATTATCACACTAATTATTGAAATACCACGTTATACCAATCCACATATTGGAAGGGAGCAAAAACACTTTGCAAAATACTCGAGTCGCGTTAAAACCCCTAAGCAATAAATAACCCTCGTGACAAACTGCCTAACCCTAGTTTTTTCATCGCCGTAAATCTATTTTTTTAGCGGCGACACTAATAGCGACAAATTTAGTTGCCATATGCGTCCAGAGAGAGCATCGAATAGCGTTAAAAATAACTACGTACTGAAAATGAGTAATTATGCAAAGGATATTGAGTTGCCGACAGCGATCACTCCATAAGGAGACGGAGGTACAGCGGCGGGGCTTGCCGACTGGCAATGTTTAATATAGATTCGTATCCAGGGTAATACATCAATTTAATTCCTTTATACAAAGCTTCTTATTTATAACCAGAATTTGTTTCTTATTCTTATCCATCCGAAATTACATTACAGTCAAAAGATATTAGACGCTATTTTAGCAAATGTCTGTATAGTTCTCTAAGTGTTCAGGAAATTCCATAAAAGTTTTTAGTTGTAATGTAACGGTCAATAGTAAATCATTATAATAGTGTAGCGCGAAGAATGCGCCCTCTGCAGCCGTAGTTGTAGTTGCAGTCGTCAGCGTGACGAACACGAGCCCTACTGTCACCACCATACAGTAAATAACTCACCCCCGTCCCCGCCCTCGCCCCCGCATGCTCATTCCAGTACATCATTCATTATAATTAGGGTTAACTGTCACAAGTGATGTAGCTTCGAATACTTTCTTAAAATATAGTGTGGCATATTTTGAATTAAGGCTGGTTTCCACAGTGGTTAATTTTGCGAACGGATGCTCTGTGTAAGCCCGACTTCATGGACTGAAATTTTTACTAATTTTATAACAGGATCAATTTATAAAGAAAAATGTTATGTAAGATTTATTTATAAAATTTTGTCCATTAATACGGATTACAGATATATGAAAAAGATAACAATATTTAACTTAAATATAACCTTAACGTAAAATATATAATGTACCCGAAGAACGGCATATTTTTATATTTAAATATACCTAATTTCCATATAAAAATGATATTTAAATATACTATGCAGCGGTTCCGCGTTGCAAATAACACAAGCTGTGGGCATTATGTAGTTAATTTACAAAGTTGCCGTCAGTCGGCTGACTGCGGGACAGGCGCGCCGTATCAGTCCGGTCAAGTCATCATAAGTGCGTCGTTTCGCAGTTAACTTACAACTTTACAACCTTACACGATGTCTGCTATACCCGATATGCGCATTTACTGTAAGTTTATATGTGTACTATATGATCAAACGACAATATTAGATTGAACATAGGTTTTCTAAAAGAAATTTTCCATCCACTTTACAAGTGTATTACTAGTGAGATTATAAAGAAACACTTGGCAAGTTGCCAAACGCAGTTTGGTTGCAGAGTTTCAGTGTCGATATTGAGTCGAGTCAGAAAT